AGAGTCAAGCACTTACACCACCGAGGAGAGCAACTGAGGATGTTTAAGTGCCACATAGTGAGTGCAGCCATCTGGGTGGGAACCACAGAAAGAACTTCCCATTTAACCAGTCACAAGAAAGAACAGGTGGTGTGGCGGGTGGGGAGGGTGCAAGAAGGGAGTAGAAGGTGACCTTGATGCAAGGAGCAATAATCCAACCCACAAGGGAAAAGTCAGCACAGGGGAAGATCTCACTCTGCACTGAAGAGTTTCACAAGCATCTAGAAAAGCCGCCCACCCCCCAAAAAAAAGTGAGAGTAGCAACATAAAAAGACAGTGGAAAGATACCTACAGGCAACTTTAAAAATAATTTATGACTTTTCTCCCAACAATTAAAAAATGGTTATGACTTCACTTATTACTCCCTGGATATTACTCCCTGGGATTGGGCCTCACATGTGCCAGGCAAGGGCTCTACCACGTTAGCCATGTCTCAGTTGTTAGTTGTGTATGTGTGTGTGTGTGTGTGGTTTCAGGGGCCTGCACCCTGCCCCTTAGCTTTTTCACTCAAAACTAACACTCTACCACTCAAGCCACAACTCTGATTTCAGCTTTTGTGGAGTGGTTAAATCAGAAATCAGACTTTCCTGCCATTTGGTGGGGAAGCTTGATCGCGAATTCAGTGCACTAGATCCTACAGCATCTAAGTTCTCAGGTTTTGAGGCTGAAGCTTGTAATCCTAGTTACACAGGAGGCTGAGATCTGAAGATGGAGGTTCAAAGCCAGCCTGAGAGGATACATCTGAAAGACTCTTCATCTCAACTAAACACCAAAAAGCCAGAAGTGGAGATGTGGATTAAGTGGTAGCATGCCAGCTTTGAGTGAAAAGGTAAGGGAAAGTGTCTAGGCCCTGAGTTCAAGCACCAGTACTGGAGGAAGGAAGGAAGGAAGGAAGGAAGGAAGGAAGGAAGGAAGGAAGGGAGGAAGGGAGGGAGGGAGGGAGGGAGGGTGGGAGGGTGGGAGGGAAGGAAAGGACAAAGAGAGAGGGGAGAGGGAAAAAATGAAAGAAATGGAAGAGCATGGATGGAAAGTGGTACCGTGGTACAGAGGCAGAGAAAGGTTGTGTCACTAGTCTGGAGTCACACAGCTGGTAGGTTTGGGGGAGTCAGATTAGGAAATGTGAGTCAGCTCTGGTGTAGCATAGATCGGAATCCCGGTGGGACATTCAGCTGGGGAATTTGAGGAGAGACTAAGACAAGGAATATTTAGGAATGAGCATCCGGAGGAGGGAATATCAGAACAGCCGCGCTATGGAGCCCCGACTCTGAGTTGATCACCCCAGGACCTGCCCAGCCCCTCCTGCCCAGCCTGTTGCTAGCTGAGCTGTGAGGGGTAGAGCTGACTTTCCCCGCGGGAGTCGTGACTTCCAGGGAAAAGACAGCCATTTCGGATAACCCTGCCAGAAGAGGCTCCCAGATCCCTCCCTCAGTCTCCCTATCTTCCCATTCCCTGCCCCTGCCCTCCAGCGGACAGGGAGGAAGGAGCTGGGGTCAGTGTTCTTTCGAGAGACGTGGCACTGTTTCTTGTGTGGAGTGCAGACAGGGGCTCTGGGGATGGGGGAATCCCCCCCCCAGCCCCAGCCACTTGTTAACCAAGAATTTCTCCTCCCTGCTGTCTGCGGGGACCCCAGCGCCGACGCCCACCTCTGGCCAGTGCTCCCGGGACCACGCACCCAGGGGATCGCCCGAACCAGCTGCCATCTCTCCCCCCGACCCCTCCCCGCCGCCCCCAGGGGCTGTGGAGCTGCTACCTGCGGGGGGAGAGCCGGAGGGAAGGGGTTCCGGTGGCAGGAAGCGGGGATCTGTGCCCCCCCCCGCGGCAAGCAGCCCTGCGCGTCGGTCCCTCTGTCCCTCGGGGAGCAGGGGTCCCAGGAAAGCCGCTCGTCGTGGGCCAAAGAAGTCGAGGCATCTTTTACCTCCTACAAGGAGGCGACTTTTCACATGGGAAACTTTTAGGGCCCCAGAGTGACCTGATTAAGGTCCCCAAACAATCATCTTCAAGGCCCTAGGCAAACCCCAAATCAACACAACCCAAATAACACAAGAAGAAGCCTGGCCGGGTGGGTAGAACGCAAGGCTCTCGGGGCCACGGTTCCCGAGGGTGTAAATTCTTTTTTTGTTGTTGTTTTTTCTTTTTATTGTGAAAATACCGTACAGAGGGGTGACAGTTACAGGAGCCAGGACGTGACTCCATTTCCTATCCAGCATTGTTGCCTCCTCCTTTGTTTTTCCCCTACCTTTCCTTCCCTCCTCACTTCCAGAGGGTGTAAATTCTGATTCAAAGAAGTCAAGTTCTCTCTGGGTTTGGCTGTGGTGGCGTTTGGCGGCTGGGTGGGGTGGGTGGACTCTGCGACTGCTGAGCGACCGGTTCAGGCCCTGGGGCCTCGGAGTCCCTGGAGGGGGGTGGGGTCGCGTGCCCGCCAACTTCCCCATTGTCCCGGGTGGGGGGGGGGAGGGCAGAAGGGTTTGGAAGAGCTCCAGGTGGGCAGGGGGCGGGGAGCGCATTGCTCTGGGCAATTTCCGACGACCGCGTCTCCCCCCCTTGATCCCCACTCCCTAACTTCCTTCCTCTATTTCCCCCCGAAAAAGAAACCCCAAAGATATCCGGTCCCCTAGATTTGTGATCTCTTACTTAATGGCTTTTGTAACCCACAGGACACCGACCATTTCTATTCCCACGCTGTCACAAGTCCTGGATGGTAACCGCGACTCGCAAACTCACACCTCAGCAACTTCATTTCCCACGGAAAAGGAAGGGGAATTTGAACGCACGCTCTGCCGTTCACACGTCGAGACCAAAACCAACGTCGGGTCGGTGCTCGTGAGATGATGTCTCCTCCTTTACCGATTTTAATTAACTTAAAATGGATTGGTTCAACTACAATGAAGGGTGATCAAATCACTTTGGAGAACGAGCGCAAAAGCCCAGGGAAAGGGAAAGGGGTGGGGGAGAAAACTATCTTCTACCTTAAAAAAAAATCACTTTTTCCCATTCACTTTCTAATTGTGTGGCCAAATGTCCTGCCCTCCGGGCGGCCGCCGGGACGCGGGAGTCCAGCGCTGGACGCCGGGTCGCCTGCGTCCTGATCTGGTGCACATGGTTCGGACCAGCAACGGTGAAACAGTCAAGTTGGCTTTCTCAAGTTTGGTCCAGATGGGACGCCGGGGGGAGGGGAAGTAGGGGAAGCGGGGGAGGGGACACTTGGGGACATTTCCCCCCACCCCCACCCCGGGAAGGAAGAGGTGCGCGCGACCCGCTGCCGGTCCCGGTGGAGGAACCCGGGCTCGGGTCGGATCCTCTGTCCCTGCCGGGTGCTGCTGACTAGCGGAATCCGGCGCGGGTGGCATCTCCGAATGAGTCACCTCGTGGGCGACTCTCAGCCATTCCCCCCCACCCCTGCAGTGCAAAGTTCCGTCCCGGAACCCGGAGCAGCCCGGCGTGGGAGGAGCGCTGGCCCCGCACAGACTGGGTTGCAGGCACGAGAAAACTTTCCGGACACCACCAGGGATCAAACATGAGGACCTCGAGCCTTCCTCCTTCCAAACGCCAGGGCCAGATCGAGTCCACCCGCGTTTTCCCGCTAATCGTCCACTAATAAGAGACCCCCCCCCCGCCTTATCCGCCCAGGTCGCCACGGGTTGTCCTGCCGACCGGAACAGGACAAGGCTTGGCATGGACTTTTAATTATTAAATAAGTGCGATTCGTGTCATCGCCCTGGCTTTACTCTAAAACGATGTCTGACTTAAAAAAAAAAAAAGCAATCAGTGACACAGGTCAGTGGATTTTCTCCTAAGTGCCATTGAATGCTAGCTTTAATAAATATTCAAGAAAAGTAAATGGAAACCAGAACATTTTTTTTTTCTCAAACCAACAAACTCACGTTCGGGTACAACTTCTCACGCGCGGTTCACACTCGCGTTAGGGGCAGGACACATTAAAGTTTCCCCTCTCTGGGGATTGGAGTGTAGCTCGGTGCTAGAACGCTTGGTTTAGGCATGCAGAAGGCATTGGGTTCCATTCCCAGCACCCCAAATAAAGTGGTTTAAAAGGATAAGAAAGTTTATATTTTCCTGTTCATTTCTCCTCTCTCTTAGCCTCAACCCCCCTCCCCCACCTGACACACACACACACACACACACACACACACACACACACACACACACCCTCTCTCCCTAGTTTGGGAGGCTGGAAATTTTTTTTCTTGAGGACAATTTATGCCCTTCTCCCAGTTAAGTCAGGCGGAAGGCGATCCTTCCTGGCCAAAAAAATTTAAAGAAGAGGAGGGGGAGGTGGGGGAGATGGACATCCGAGGTGGGGTCGGCGGGGGTGGGGAGAAAGATCTGTCCGCGATTTCCAGTTTTCCCCTTGAAGGTCATAAATCAGGGTCTGTCCGGGATGGGCTCCCGGTGATTGCCTGGCGTGGGCCGGGTGCACCTCGGGCCAGCTTTCCCTTCTTTCATTCTCTCCCTACTTCGCAATGCACACACAGCACGAAACCCGCCCGCAGAACATCTGGATTCAGGCTCGCATCCGAGCATCTGGGCAACCGCAGCCAGAGTCGGCTCCCGGAAAGTGAGCGCGGAAATGAGCGCGGGAGCGAGAACGCATCACTCAAAAGAGGAGGACCTCACCCCGCGTCCGGTCACTCCAGCATCCCTCCCACCATCTGCTCCTGTCAGCAGCCTGGGGCTCCACCTCCCTGAACCTGCCCCCTCGAGTCTTGCAAGCCAATAGGAGCCCCCGCTGTGTAGCCACCGCCCCGAGCCTTTCCACACCCCCACGTTCCGAGAGAGGATTGGCTAGTTAGTCTTTGGTACAGCCTCTATATTTGCATAGCACTAGGGTTTTTTTTTTGGTAGGTTGAACGGCACGTCACTCCGCCAGGCCGGGCCCGCCCACCCCACCTCAGTGCCCAGCTCTTTTCCTGCGCAGTTCCCCTCCGCAGCCTCTGCGGGCCAGTGCCGGGGCTGCGCTCTGGGGCTCGGTTCTCAGCACTGCGCGGAGGCAGCCCCGGCGAGCGGCCGGTGCGCACCGTCTGGAGTAGCCAGGGCGCGCCAGGGCGGCGATCTCTGCACCGCACGAGCGTTTGCCGCCCGCCCTGACTTTTCGTTCCAGTTGCGACTTCTCCCGGGCAACATGTCAAGAGCCGCCGCCGCTACAGCCGCCGCCGCCACCCGGGAAAGATCAGAAGCAGCAGCGATGGTGGCGGTGGTAGCCGCGGGTACACGAGGGCAATAAACCGAGCCGGCTGTCTGGGTGTCCAGCGGGCCAGGGGACCCTCTCCGCGCTCACTGCTCCGCTGGGCTTCGCGCCATGTGCTGAGCCATGCCTCGGGCCGTGCCCGCGGGCAGCGCATGGGGCAGCGCTTGAGCGGCGGCCGACCCTGCCTCGATGTCCCCGGCCGGCTCCTACCGCAGCCGCCGACGCCCCCGCCGCCGGTGAGGAGGAAGCTCGCGCTACTCTTCGCCATGCTCTGTGTCTGGCTCTACATGTTCCTGTACTCGTGCGCCGGCTCCTGCGCCGCCGCGCCCGGACTGCTGCTGTTGGGCTCCGGGTCCCGCGCGGCGCACGCCTCGCCAGCCCTGGCCACTGCTCCGAATGGGACGCCGTCCAGGTTGCCTTTCCGGGAACCCCCGGACACCGCCCTGGCTGCAGGACAGGCGGAGGGCGCAGCGAGCCAGGAAGAGCAGAGTCCCGAGGCGCCCGACTCCCCCAGCCCCATCTCCAGCTTCTTCAGCGGGTCCGGGAGTAAGCAGCTGCCGCAGGCCATCATCATCGGCGTGAAGAAGGGCGGCACGCGGGCGCTGCTGGAGTTCCTGCGCGTGCACCCCGACGTGCGCGCCGTGGGCGCCGAACCCCACTTCTTCGATCGCAGCTACGACAAGGGCCTCGCTTGGTACCGGTGAGTTTTCTTGCCTTGGGGCCAGGAGTGTGGGCAGCGATCCAGACCGTGAACGGAGGGGAGACGTGGCATCTGTTGGGGAGGTGTTGGGAAGGGGGTGGGCGGTCTAGCTGCGGACCACCGGGGTGTGGGCAGGGAGGGACAGGGGAGCGATCGGACACAGCGGACAAGTTTGAGCCCCGCACCTCACCCCCGCGCGATCGCGGAGACACCCAAGGAGGCTCTCTGTGGCTTCAACCTACCGAAACTTCTCACGGAGCGCTAGCGACTTAGTGGTCCCCGCTGCTCCAGAATAAATCGGGCGGCCTCGCCGCGAAGAAGCGTTTTAAAGAAAAGCGCTCGGCGATGCGCACCACCTTCTCACCCCGCGGTGGTTCGCTCCGGTCGATCGGGTACTGCTGGGATCCACTTTTTATCCTCTCTAAGCCTGGGGGGTGCCTCATGCTTGGGTTAGTTACACTCGTCTCCCCGGACCGACTCGGAAAGCTGCTTCTGCTCCCCAGATGGGGAGAGCGAAGGCGCCCTGCCAAAGCCACTGAGAGTCTTAACTTTGTTGTTATTGTTGTTGCAATCCTCCCGGTCACGGGAACCCCAAGGGGGTGAGACCCACAAGGCTGGGAGAGGCACTAGGGATCTTGGGGGCGGGGGGCTGATCTGGGCGGGTGGGCGGCCGGGCGCCTCTGCTGGCTGCGGAGCGTGGAGCGGTACTGGTCCCTGTCGGGCAAAGGCGCGCACTGCAGCCCGCCGGAGACGCACGAGGCTTTTTGAAGGCTTCTCAGCGGGCACCGCCAGCCGGTTTCCGCCTCTCCAGCTTCCCAACGGGGAGATCGGAGGGCGAGAACGCGTGCCTCCGCGGGTCCTATATTCCATCCCGGCGCAAAGAATGATTCCGGGTGCATTGATTGAGAAATGAGGGTGGTTTGGAGGTCGCGGCTTCCGGAAATCCAGTCTTCAAATGGGTTGCAGAGTCCGCTTCCAAAGGGACTGCAGCCTCGGGGTCACATTCACGACCTCTGCCCACTGCTTCCCGCCAGCCACTGCTCCTTGGGGGTGAACTGTTGGGGAGGTCAGAGGCTGAGCTCCGGAACGCCGGCCTCTTCCCTGGGCCTCCCCCAGCCCCGCACCCCCCCCCGACGCCCCGGCCTCCTTCCACCCCATCTCTCAGGTCACCACCCCGGCTCTCAACCCCAAGCCACACACTCTTGAGTTCCGCCGACGTCTCCAGGTCCGATGACTAACTTCAAAGAGTCCGGAGACTTCGGAAAATAGAAAGGGGAAAAGGGAAACGGACCCCACTCTTTAGTCCCCACCTTCCTTTCCTGGACCCGGGTGAGATGGAAGATTAAAAAAGAAAAAAAAACAATAAAAAAAAACACGACTTGACCCTGGGCGGATTAAAACCGTTCCTTTCCCAGCCTCGCCCTCCCCTCCCCTTTGTCCCTTTATTTATTTCCTATTGTCAGGAGTTGCCCAGTCTTCAGGTTTAGCCAGCCGGAACCGCCGGGGACCTAGACGGAGTCCCACGGCCGGGGTGTACCGAGGTGGCTAGAGCCCTGAGGACCTTAGTACTCTCTCTGGTGCGCGCAGTGGGGCCAGACAGGGGCCAGGAAGGGCCAGGGTACTAGTGTGATCAGGTCCGGAAGGAACTTCTCCGATCGTTGGCGACTGTCACTGACTAGGTCGCTGGTATTCACTTCTACCCTCGCCACTCCTCCTTGCTCTTTGGATATGGTGACTCCGGGGGTCTGGGTGGAACCCGGGTAGGGTAGAGCTCAGCCGGAGGCAGCCTGGGATTTTCGGAGTGTGATCTGACACTCTTGGGGCTCGGCTTGGGGAGAACTAGCAGGAAAAAAAAATAACCGAACCCTTCATGTCAGGCGGTTTTATAAGCGCACCTGGGGCAAGGCTCTGGAAATCCCCACAGGAAGATTCCCGCAATCGCGGAGGCGGCGGCTGCCCTTCACCTGCTAGGCCGTTCTTCCCTTTTGCTTGATTTAATACCGAATTAAGTCGCGACAGCAGCCATCGCCGCGCTCCCGTAGCCGGGAGCGCAGCCTGGGAGCTTCGGGCGCCTGGGTCGCCCGGGAGCCGCGCGCCGAGAGCAGCGGTGCCGGGGCGGCTGGACCCGGCCTCGTGGCCGGGGAGATCGGAGGGCTCGTCACCCTTACAAGCCACTTCCGTACGCTCCACGTGGGGGACCCGGAGGCCCAGAGCCCGCGGCGATGGCCCGGGATACCTACGCACCCGGCTCGGAAGCGCAGACTTCTCCCGCCGCCTCTGCCGAGCGTTGGCTTGGCCGCAGAGTTGTTTCTTTTGAAAGGAAAAGCTGGGGGGGGGGAGGGAGATTCAAGTCCTACGAAATCCAAAAAAAAAAAAAAAAATTAACTACCTTACAATGCACTGGATGCTTGGGCAAAAGTAGGAACTTTAAAGGCATCCTTTTACCTTTTAAACCCAACACACCGTGGAGACCCGAGATCCCAAGCGCTGGGCGTCAAATCATTGGCTCCCTATGCTTGAAAAATTGGGGGCCAGGAGGTGAGGGGGGGCGAGAAATCCCAGTTTCTGACTACAGTTGAGGTCCAGAGATCTCTCGCTCGGTCGGGAAGGCCAGGCTGCCAGTCGGAAACTGTATCAATATAAATGAACCCGAGCGTTACAATTAATCAGAGTCTAGCCTCCCCCCCAACTAGAGCATGGGAGAGAAACACAGTTTAAAGGCATTTGGGTGGGGTGTGTGTGTGTGTGTGTGTGTGTGTGTGTGTGTGTAAGCCCTTTGAGCATGCATGGATGGTTGAGCGCGCGGGTCAGTGGCACTCGGTTGGAGAAGGAGGTCGCGGCTGTGTCTGAGCAAGTCGTAATGGGTGTAATGGGTTGATTCACAGCCCTGCCCCGGGCCTAACCAGTAGCCCCACGGCCTGGGCTGATTTGCATGACATCCCAAGATTCGATGGTCTTTTGCTTCACTTGTCCTAATGAGATTCTATCAGCCTGATATGGGGGGAGGGGGAGGGTCCTAGTAGTTCGGAGTCCAAGAAGATGGCAGCGCCGAGCTAATTTCACCAAATCAACAACCACACATCAGGTCCTGCTAAGTCCTGCTGATGGTGGTTTGTGTTCGTCTGAGTTGAGGGTTGTTACTGAGTTGATGTTGTCAGTTCATCGTCCAGCTCGCCTTCGCCTCCACCCACCTCCCCCAACCACAAGTTTAGCTAGTGTTGATGAACACTCCACAGTTGGCTTATAGGGGCGTCTGGCGAAATCAGTCCTTGCCTTTGGTCAGTGATACAGGACTGGAATGTACTCATGACCTGACTTCTGTAAATGTAACCCCTCTGTACCTTAAGTTTTAAATTAAAGCCCCCAAAAAGAAATACAAGACTGTGTTTCTGAAGAAATTAACCTCCTTGCAGTAGAGCAAATACCCCCCCCCCCAGAGCAGAACCTCCAGGCTTGGATGTAAATCTCCACCATCAGACATTAAATAGACAAGTTTTGAAGGTTTTTTTTTTCTTTCTGATTTGCTGTAAATTTTGATAGATTTTTTTAAAAACATGAACTTGATGATCCCAGTTTAAGAATCAACTTCTCCAAACATTGTTTCATTAATTAGGTGTCATGCAGGAATCTGCCTTAGATTTCACAGTAGTAGGTTGGTCTCTTCCTGCCCTCTTTTCCATTTTGATGCCTTCATAAATAAAAAGACACTTTAGTGCTGTGACCAACCCATCAAAATGTATGTGTGTGTGTGTACACACACGTGTGCACATATGTGTGTGGCTTAATAAAGTTGGTAGCTAACACATGCTAAATGTTTTCCCACTGTGCTAGGCACTGCTTCAAGTTTTACAAGATTAGCAAGTTTAATCCTCATTATAGTCCCCTGAAATAGGTACTTCACATCACAAGTGAGGAAACACAGGCAGAGAGGGCAGGCCATTTGCCCAAGCCTCACAGCTAGAAAAATACAAAGCTCTTATGCCAACCCAGGCAGTTCTAGTCTGTTCTGTGACATGACACCCACACTGCATTAACCAAAACATGAGGTGAGTCAGACATGATGCTCAAAAAGAGACTGGCAGTTTCCTTATCACCTGCAAAGATTCTGAGCTCAGACTGTCATTTACTGCACAAGAATTACAACTCCAAAACACTCCAGTTAGCAATGTCCTACGTTGGTTTAGCACTAGTGAGGATAATCATAGCAAGCTGACACATTTATCTTTGTGCAGGCCAACCAGAGTCAAAGGAATCGTTAAAATGACAAAAATGGAAGTGGCACTGTGGTTCAAAATGGGGCACTGGTAGCTCATGCCCATAATCTTAACAACTCAGGAGGCTGAGATTTGAGGATTGCAGTTCAAAGCCAACCTGGGAAAGAAAGTCCAATTAACCAGCAAAAAGCTGGAAGTGGAACCGTGGCTCAAAAGTGGAGTGTCAGCCTTTAGTGAAAAAGCTGAGTGACAATACCTAGACCATAGGTTCAATCCCTAGCACTGGTGGGAGTATTTTGAGCTATTTCTTTAGAATGAGGTTCTAACCCCTAGAAACCCCTACATATTTTAATTTGGCAAATGTTGAGAAAATGGGTCCCTTCCACCCTTATTCCTCCCACTTTGTTTCTAAAAACCTGCTCACCAGGACTGTTAGTGGCTTCCCTGGGAAGAATGTAAGATCTTACTGGAGATAGCCCATTTCAAAATAATTGTACTTTCGCAGTCCCGTGCTTTAAACCTCACTTTCAAGCTGCTGAGTGTACAGCAGAAATTTTCATTTATCTGCAACAAATTGAAATATAAACCATCATGTTACAAAGCTGTCAAGATTTATTAGCAAGACAGTGTAGCATGTGTTGAACTCTGTTTTTAATTAGGCACCTAAATTAGACCATAAAATGGTTGATTAATCTTTTACAAGTTCAGGGGAAAATATAACATAAATTAACCTCATCATAAGTGTTTTCCCAGACACTTGGAGTTAATAAAATAGTCAATATTTAA